ACATGGTGAAGAAGCACCTACACTGTGCCTACCTGTAGAAACATGGTGAAGAAGCACCTACACTGTGCCTACCTGTAGAAACATGGTGAAGAAGCACCTACACTGTGCCTACCTGTAGAAACATGGTGAAGAAGCACACCACTCCGATGGCGACAAACATGAGGGAGAAGAAGTTTGCTCGTTCTCTGACCACACTGTCATCCGGATTAGCAAACACCTGGAGGAGATAAAAACAGTTTACTTCAGAAAGCTTCACAGCTGCTATGACAGACGCTATGTCAATGACCTCTACATGACCTCTGCAGCGCTAGCAGTGACCTACAGTAATGATCTTTGAGAAGAGGATAGCGAACACAGGTTGTATGCCTCCGTTTATGATGGCACAAATCAAGCCCAGCACCATGAGAGGCCATTCAGAACCGTTGAGACGCAGCACCTGAAGGAACGACACCATGGGAACATCCTCATCCTGCAGAGACGAAGAAAATGAGCCCCGTTTGTTAAACAAATAAATCAAAATTTAACATCATCAATGTTTAAATGTGAAAATACAGGAAACACGCAGGTAGTTTGTAAAACGTCTTCCCAGAGATTATATATCTACATTAACAACAGACCATTTTGTACTTAAAATTGTGCAAAATGAGCTGAGCTCACGTGTTTTTCAAGAAAATGTTGATTTATGTCTTTACGTCTTTATACAGACCTGATGTATTTGCTCCAAACTGATTCGTGTTAAACTTTACTTTAGTATCAAATACAAGATTTCCCCTAAATATCAAAGCTTTTTCTGCTTTGAGCTTTGTTGAATTTGCACAATTCAAAAGGTGTTTCCAAAGCAACCTCAGTGTTTTCTCTGCTGACCTGTGACCCGGAACAAAGGGCTCGACACATGGGGGCCACGTCGCTCGCTCTCCATTCATTTCCTGTGGAACGTGTGCGATGAGGCGACAATCACTCACCCTCCTCCAGCCAAGCGACAGGTGAAAATCACGCATGTGAAATTTCGTACACAGACGTGCACACGTGAGCTTGTGACGCAACATATGAAAGTTGAAAAATGTTCAACTTTTGTCACTGCCTCTTGGCGTTACAACCAATCACTGAGGGTTTCATTGACGGACCAATGAGAGGAGAGTATGCTACACACTGCAGTTAGCTAACACTTTAGCTCTGTCAAACTCTAGTTCTATATGACCCTTCACCAAGTGATCACTAAAAAAGGCAGCTTTATGGGAATTTGTTGGCACCAGAGTGAAGTTATCCTGTAAGTTTTTCCACATAAAATTGTATCTTGGTGTACGTTTGTTTTAAAACATCATTAGCATCACAAGGTGTGTTTAGTTTACACGTCTGTAATGTACATACCCCTTTTTTTTGTGAACCACCAAAAACCTTTACTAGAGCAGTAGAAGAACCAATCAAATTTCGTGAAGACCAGCGACCTGAGAGTGCGATTCACAACGATGCCATCACTATCACGTCCCGTGTGTCAGGTTTCACCCTGGTTGTGACCACAGCTGTTAATCGCTGTAGTTTGTGGCTCCCTGTGTGTCGAGCCCTTTAGGCTCCACCAGTAACTACATAAATGGTCTACTGGTCTCAGTTGGCCAGTGGTGGACAAAAGTTAGCTTCACTAAGTCAGTCTGCGTCACGCGTCTTTGTCTCCGTCCAGCTGAATGGGACTGATAAAACCTCTTCATGTTAGCTTGTTAGTTAGCTGTTAGCGTATTTAAAGTTGGCAACACATAATTGAGCAGAAGTTAATTGGTCCTCTAACGGTTTTTTAAAGTCAGTGAAAAATCAGTTCTGCTATTAGCCGATTAGCCAAACCAGGCCCACCACTGCTGTTGACCTGTTATAAAGCCTGAGTAAACTGGACAATATAACCTATTCTTTATTTCTTTATTTTTTTTTTACCTAACCTAACATATGTCTGAGAAGTACTTCACCTGTTCTGTTTTGTCCTCGTCATTCTTTGACACTTCCTTGTCCTCCTTCTCTCTGCCTGAGGCGGAGAAGGAGGAGCCTCTGGTAGATTGCCTCTTGAAGAGCGAAGCTTTGGACAGGGAGGTTGACGTGGGGCTTTTCTCCTCCACCATCGCCTCGTTCTCCTCCTCCCCTTCCTTCGTCTTCTGAAAGGTCTGCAGCAACGAGAGGAAGGAGCGCTCTGAAGGAACCTGAGAACTGCTGGGACCGCCCGCTGTGTAAAGGTGTGCACATTACCTGCATGGTGACCAGTGTGTGGTAGACTCCCTGTTTGTCCATCAGCTCGCTGTGAGTCCCCTGCTCTACTATTTTACCATTCTGGAAGCCCGCAATGACGTCAGCATTTCTGATGGTTGACAGGCGGTGGGCCACAATTAATGTGGTACGGCCTTGTTGGACCTGTGCAGAAAACACATTCACACACTATTTAAAAGATCCATGATTAGTTGTAACATTAGACTTTATTTGATAAACATTTATTTTAACTGTAAAATAAAGACTGAAAAAATACTGTAGGATGTTTAGTTTTGTAAATTTTTAAAAATATATTTTAACACTGACGGAGCCATTTTATTTCCACACAAAGCATTCTGGGTAAATGATGACGTGGATAGGTCCTCGGTGCGAGGCTGCTAGCGAGCTATATCCACCCTGAAGGTTAATCTTGGACAATATCTGATGATCGACTCTTTTAAATGAAACCAGAGAGCGTTGACAGAGAGGAGAAGGTAGAAATGACTCAGCCTGGAACTGAAAATATGGATGGAGAACAACAGAGCTGCTTCATGGAAGAACAACCTCAGATTAGCCTGTTAGCCTTTGTGCTAGCCCTCATGCTATATTGCCTTATATGTATTAGCTCGGTGCTAGTGCGACAAACAAGCTAACCTGTTGTCCTCCATCCATATTTTCAGTTGCAGCTGAGTCATGTTTGTGTTCCCCTCTCTGTCATGTGGATGGAGGACCTCAGTGACGAGAGGAGAACGTGTAGCACTGAGCTAATACATATATGGTGATCAGTCATACTGTGTCCCTTGTAGACTGAGGAGTTTGTGTGTTTGTTGGGCAGTGTTGAATTTTGTCTGTTTTGTGCACTTGTTTTATGAACTGTTAGTTTTTTATCTGCTCAGGACTATGGATGAAACTTACCTGTTGTGCTAATTCTGGCGCATTTATATTCACAGAATATTGATTAATGTGCTTTGTCCTTTTAAATAAATAAATGAAATGTGTACCTTATCGAGAGCAGCCTGTACGATGGTCTCACTCTCAGCATCCAGAGCAGATGTGGCCTCGTCCAACAACAGGATTTTTGGGTTACGGACTAAAGCTCGAGCGATGGCAATCCTCTGCTTTTGCCCTCCGCTCATCTGAGTTCCTCGGTCCCCAACTAGTGTTTCAAACTTCTGCTCAACAAAAATATGGTGTTAGAAAAAACTGGGACCTGATCTTCACGAGCGTAGGAAACATGGTGGCTGAAAACACAGTCGTACGTCAGGAAGGTTCATGATGAAGTCATAAGCGTTGGCTTCCTTGGCAGCTTGTTCGATCTCAGACTGCGTGACTTTGGGCCGGCCATATCTGATGTTCTCACTGATGGTCGTGGCGAAGAGGATGGGCTCCTGGCTCACAACGCCGATCATTTCTCTCAGGTAGCGGACGTTGAGGCTGCGGATGTCGTGACCGTCGATGGACACCTACCGACAGACGCAGGTCCGTAAACCTTTAGCTGTAGCTCACCGTCACTGAACTGGTGATTATATGGATGAGTCCAACTTACGGTTCCTTCCTGGGGATCATAAAACCTTTGCAGCAACTGGATGGTGGTGCTTTTACCACAACCACTGCTGCCTACCAACGCCATGGTCTGTCCACTGGTCACACTTAAGCTCATGTTGTTTAATATCTACAAATGTGTTGGAGAGGAGACCGTTTAAAATGATTCATCACTGGAAGAACTTCAGCTGTTTTTAGAGCTGGGAACATACTTGGACATCGGATCTGGAGGGGTAGGTGAAGTGGATGTTTTGGAACTCTATGTTCCCTTTGATGAAGTCGGGCTTGAAGCCGGCCTCTGAATAGCTGTCGATGCTCGGGTTCTGTGGAGAAAACAAAGTCTGTTCTGGTTTGGAGTTTCTCTGAAATAAGATCAAGACTGATTCTTCAAAAAAAAACTCAGACAATGAGAGGAAGGCTGTTCGCTTTCCGGGTGAGGGTGAGGGAGTTTAACCGGATCAATGTTTATTTACACTATTTTTTGTGGTTTCACAACCTCTCTTGATGCTCCAGACACACACACACACACACACACTTTTTCTTCTATTCTCAGACGTTGCATTGACGTCCATTTATCCAGTCATTTCTATATCCTTATCCTGACCTCTTACCCTAAACCTAAGCACAAACCTTAGTTCTACTTTAAGCTCTTGACTCAAAGGTGTTTTCCTCAGTGGGGGCCGGGCTTTTGTCCCCATAAAGAACAGCAGGTCCTCACAAAGCTGTGTGTACTAGGCAAACAGTCAACAAGTGTCCCCACCAGGCAACAAAAACACGTACAGACACACATACATCCCTTCAATTTTCCATCTGAAGCTTTTTGTTACGAGTTGAGATGTGTTTTACTTGAGACAAAACATTCTGATTAAACACAACCTTTGTGTTCAAGAAACGAGACAAGAGGAAGACGTACAATAAACACGTGTGTGTTTTATAATCACAATGAAACGACGTCTGTTTGTCACTAAACAAATCCTGACAAACAGATCTGATGCTGCAAATCTCACGTTTGCTGCAGGAAGTGTTCACATGCAAACAGGTTTATTTTTCAGCAGCAGTCTGTAAAATGCACTTTTCTTTACCAGTTTTTATGCTGTCATAACGAGTCTAACATGTAATCTGTAAAACAATCTTTTCTACATGAGCCAAAGAGTTAGAATTACCTTCACAAACAGAAAGTTGTATTTACTCACAGCCAGGAAACAGCTGTGCAGCACTGGTCCAAATTACCTGCTGTTTCCTGGTTTTTATTCAAGCAGCAGGTGATCCAATTAGAGAAAAACCAGTCACATTAGGTTATTTGACTGTTTGACTGCATGAAAGCAGCTCTACAGAGCGTACAGTGATCAGTGATACAAACTGACACCAGTCCAGAGACAGGATTGAAAACAACGTGTGGTTTGAGTTGAACCTGTTCTGATCCTTACGTGATCGATGATGTGGTACACTTTGTACGCAGCTCCACGGGCGCTGGCGAACGTCTGGATGTTGGGAGAAGTCTGGCCCATTGCAAACACTCCAATGATCACAACAAAGAACACCTTCAAGCAAATGTGCCGTGATTAGCTTCAAATGGTTTCTCAGCTTAAACAGAGAAAAGAATTGGTACAATATGTGTGTACTTACGGTGAGTACGGAGCCGATGGTGTACTCATCACTCAGGATGAGCGTACTGCCGTACCAGAAGGCCAGAGCGTAGGACAGGTAGATCATCAGGAACATGAAGCCCATGGCGATGTTAGCAGACATTGCCTTCTTTATTCCCATTTTCTTTGCGTCCTCCAAGTTCTTGTGATATCTTTTGTGCAACACAACCAAATACACAAAGTCACAAACATGCTTTACTGAAATTAGTTATTAGTTAGTTGTTTAGTGGTTATAAGCACGTCATATGATGTTATCATGGTGTATATTATTGGCTGTGTCCGCTGACGTGTCAGCCACAAGCATACAGAGCTTCCTGATCGAGTCCTGTTCGTTTGTCGCTCAGAATTAAATCATTATTTACTACCATACACGCAGACTTTCTGTGCATTATTCCAACGTGTTTCTGCATTCTTGGTAAATCATGCGACGACAATTGCAATGAAAGCAAACACTGCAACAAATGGAGGGACGACATTTGCAGAAAATGGGTTTTATTTTTTTACAACCTCTTACTGCAGATATTTATCTGACCTGCAGAGAGCTTCCATTTTAACAAAACAAATATCTAATTTTGTCTTTTAAGAGTGTTGGAGCGAGCCTGAAACTAATTCACAATAACAACAACAATAATATACCTCTGGATTTCTTTCTGCTGCCCGCTGAAGGCGTACACGGTCCTGATGGAGGACAGCACCTCCTCAGCCACAGCACCAGCCTTGGCGTACGCGCTCTGCTCTTTGGAAGTGAAGGTTGCCAGCACCTGTTCAAAGGACAAGAGACACAAAACAAAACCTAAGGAAAAAAGTTGCCACAGCTTAATGGACCATCACAAAAACATTAATGGTGGTAATTTAATTTGACAGATATTAAAATTAAATTTGGTGTTTTAGTAGCTGAAAGCCATCCCCAACACACCAGATGATGTGTGTGTGGTGGGCAATACACGTGTCTTCAAGGAGCACTGCTTTCTTTTATCAAGATTTCTGTTCAAACTGCTTTTAAACAGAAAAACAAAGGTGGGTTTTAAAAACTGGACTGTAGCTGTTAAACCATCAGAGACATGGAAGCTCTCCTTGGTTAGAAATATGAGAATCCCTCATGGGGAGACTGGAGGGAAAGGAAGGTAAGAAAAGAAATGTGTTTATCATTATTACCACAGGCTGGACAGAGGATTGAATCTGCTAAAAATCAATCGATCTGTGAAGACAACTCAAACACTAATGTGTCTGTTATGTCAGAAATAAGTGCTTTAAACACCCAGACTGAATACTTTAATCTGACCAGTTTGTAATATAATTAATAAATAATTTATCACCATTTCTGTTGTTAAAGTCAAACATGTGGTTGGTGAGAGAAAGCACAACAAACTTTACCTTACTGAACAGAGCTGCAGAGATCCCCAGAGCAGGACTCACAGCCAGGATGACCAGAGTCAGCTTCCAGCCTTTGGTGAAGCCGATGATGAAGGCTGCGATGAAGGAGCTGAAACTCTGGATCAGCATGCCCACCTTGTCTCCAATGCCCTCCTGGATCTTGTAGACGTCACTGCAGATAAAACCCGTCAGAGTGATGTCACCGCTCTGTGAGGTCGACAATAAGTGTGTGATGTTTGTTACCCACTCTGTGAGACGTGTGTTCAGCTCTCCAGTCTCATTCACATCGAACCAGCCGATGTCCTGCTGCATGATCCTGTGGAAAAACAAGGTGCGGATGCGTTTCACCTGCCGTCCTGCCGCCAGCGTCCAGAGAGACACCTGCATGTAGGCTGCAACCAGCACCACTGCTCCCATTATGGAGTAATAGATGGCATAACTGGAATACAACACACAGACAGGAGTTTACACACAGGTTCTCCCAGTAATCCACTGGTGTTGATCTGGTAAAACCTTACGTAGTCATGTCAGCTTCCAGCTTGTTGGTCATGCTTCCATTCACTTGTTCTGAAAACACAAAGGTTCAAATGGTTGGACTGGAAAATGACTTGGTTGTTTCAAATGTTGCTGAGGTCACCTGACCCTAAAACTCACTGGGGTCGTCCAGGATCGGTACAGAACTATTCACCAGACTGTCCGTCATTTCGCCGAAGACGATGCACATGAGAGGAAGCACGGTGCCGTTGACCATCGCCATCACGGTCCCCACAACAATCATCAGAACGTCCCACCTGTCTGCAAACCTGAACTGGAATCAGAATCAAATATTGTAATTAAAAATCCTCGGTGAAGTCATGAGACAAAGAACAGAGAGGAAATTATCTCCTAACAGCAGGAGTACCGGTGCAGCTGAGCCCAAACAACAGGAGGATGTGCTGCACTCCCCCCACCTCCCCACCTCCTTCTCACTGGACCTTTCACACACAAAACTTTCTATCCTTATTAGGACCGCCAACAGATGAGAACTAGCCTTCATGGCACAGGTACTGTTTAAATAAACAACAACTGCCCCTGCCTGTTACCCTCACCCAAAAACCCCTAATGTTCCACTTTATTAGGACCAGACCTTGGTCCCCAGAAGGACTACTGGTCCTGACAAGGTAAGTGTTTATACCATTAAAGGTCCTAAAATGTAACAAAAACCAGGAAACATTTCTGTTACATTTAAAAATACACTTTTTACAGTTTAACACTAAAATAAAGCTTTGCTTTGATTTACTTTGTGAAAACGCTGATTTCCTTGTTTTCATTCACACACACACACACACACACACACACACTGCAGGAGAAGAAGAAGTTGTTTCAGAAACATGATGATGACAGGCTGTAACTTACCACAGTGACGGGACCGACCATGGGCTCCTTCTGCACCTTTTCCTTCTTCTTCTTCTTCTTCTTATCTGTTGTTTCTTCAACCATCTCATTCCCACTGAAGGTTTGTACAAAACATGATGTTACACAAACATCTGCATCAGTTTTTTTCTTTTGTAAAAAGATGCTTTACATATGAAAAATGTCAAACAAACATAAATAAAAATAAACACATCATCATGTGGATCTGAGGAGAAGCTCACATATTAGATATCACAATCCAGCTGTTACTGTAGTGAAGTTTTATTGATGAAACTTGTTGTTTGACAGATTGTTGTCTTTTAAAAACAGGGCCAGCCCGAGCCAGTTTGGTGCCCTGGGTCAGAATTTAGGTGGTGCCTCTTTTTCTAAATCTCACTGCCAATTTACAAACATTCACACATCAACACACGATGGACTGGATGAGATGTGAAGACCACTTCCTGTCTACGAGACGTGAAGACCACTTCCTGTCTACGAGACGTGAAGACCACTTCCTGTCTATGAGACGTGAAGACCACTTCCTGTCTACGAGACGTGAAGACCACTTCCTGTCTACGAGATGTGAAGACCACTTCCTGTCTATGAGACGTGAAGACCACTTCCCGTCTACGAGACGTGAAGACCACTTCCTGTCTATGAGACGTGAAGACCACTTCCTGTCTATGAGACGTGAAGACCACTTCCCGTCTACAAGACGTGAAGACCACTTCCTGTCTGAGTCTCATCAAACAGCAGCTGAGAGAGGCTGTAAACTCCTGAACAGCAGTAAAACCACAGCAGGAAGAACAAATAACTTATAAACAACATGTTTACTCAGGTATTAACAGAAAACCATCAATCAAAGTTTCCTTCATGAATGTGAGGAATCGGACCACCACCTGTGTCTCCAGTCTGAAGATATAAATGTTATATGTTACAAATGTTTCACATTTCTTCATCTTTACACATCAAACAGCTTCTATCAGGACTGCTAATGTTAATTTAATTAAAGTTAATTGTGTCTTCAGCTTTCAGCTTTACAGAAAAGTGTGAGGTTAAGATATTTCTAACATTTATTTAGAACATAATATACTTTACATTTACCAAAGATTTGTTGAGCTATTTAAAAGTTTATGTACATTTTTGACCAAATCCATGATCAACACTGGATAATTCAAAGAAAAGGGTTTAAAAGTGAAAACGTTCATGGTTTTTAAATGTGAAAGGTGTAGTTTAGTGCTGACAGCTTCGTTATGATCCTGAACAGCTCAGACTAACTGTCTTCAGACATTTTTAAACTGAACACTTTTTTACACTTTTAACTCCTAAATAGTAAAAATTAAACTATGCTCATGAGGTTCTACTGATCCTGAAAAGCTTTAGGGAATTAAAAAATTAACACCAAGCAAAGAACTGAGATTGAGAAATATAAAAGTGTTGGGACAAGAGGTTCAATTAGGAGGGAAACAATTACTGCCCCTCTGACCCCCTCTGACCCCTCTGACCTCTGACCCCTCTGACCTCTCTGACCCCCTCTGACCCCCTCTGACCTCTCTGACCCCCTCTGACCCCCTCTGACCTCTC